CGAGATGGCCGCTGGGAAGGCAGGTCGACGGGGCGCGGACATGGCCGCAGCCTGAGGTTCGCTTCATCGCCACGTTTGACAGAAACCAGGGACATCGATGATGAGCAGAGCGGCGCCGTGGGGGTCACGGCGCTGACGCTTCTCGAGGACTTCGATCAGGCCGCGCAGCGCTTGGTCGCCGCGGAGGTCGAATCCGCGCCGGGACCCCGTTTGGGCGACGCCCTTCGCTTGGTGGGCGACGCGGGCGGCGCCCGCCTCTCGGGGGCGCGCTGGGAGGTCCGCAGGTCTGGCGCGCGCCTCTCGCTCGACGGGGCTGACTGGAAAGGGAAGTATCAGCAGGAACTCCAGCAAACCACGACCGGCCAGCAGGAGTGGCAGGCGCCGCCAGGCGCGGAGGTCACCGCAGGCAGCTCGTGCACGACTCCACGCCTGCTGCAGCCTCGCCGCTATCCCACCGGCTATCTGGGATTGGCGCATCCGGACATGGGCGCGGCCCCCTCCTCGGCGGTTCGGAGACGCCGCGAGCCCGCATCATGAGCGGAAGATGCTGCTGACGCTCGACGAGTGGATGCGATGCCTGCTCGTTTGCGCGACTTCCGTTAGCAGACGAGTCCGCCAGGGCCGCCTGTTCGCGGCGCCTGCCGCGCCACCGACAGGCCCCTCGGCGCCCTGTTCGCACTGCGTGCGCATTGAGTTTTCTGCCATCGGCGCGCCCGAGCGCGGCGATTGTGTTCCTGCCCTGCGTTTTCTTTTAAGGGGGGGGGGGGGTCGCCCCGGAGCGCAAGCCGATGCGCCATGGGGCTGGATGCATCGGCGCATATAGGGGAGCGGTGGAATAATAGGCGGGCGTGGTAGGACTTGTATAAGCTAATAGATGCGAATGGAAGTTCGTAGGCGGGCCGCATGACTAACATATTTTTCAGGACGATAACACCTAACCGAAATACCCCCACGAACCCTCCTACAGGCTCAAAGAGAACCCCAAGGCGCCCCATGCCCTTGCAAAGCTCCGCAGAGACCGCCAGGAAACCACGCATTCGATACGAAATTCAGGGGCGCATCATCCGGATGTTGCTCTTCACCGCGTCCCGAGCATTGTCCAGCCTTCCAGCCCAACGAAGCGGAGTGACACCCTATCCGCTTGCACGGCATGGCGTGTCGCAGGGGTCGCCGCCGCGACACCCTAAACAACAGTTGTTGACCGCAGGCAGGCTCGCGGACCGATCATAATGATGAGACGGACGAGGATGATGATGAGGATGGGGGTGAGGATGAGGATGAGGATGAGGATGGCGATCATGGTGATACGCGAGCTTGACGTACTGTCTGGTTCACAGCACTGGACCAAGGATGTTTCCGATGTTGTTGTTTATGAGATTGATAGTGGATCTGATCGTGATGGCTTTTATGATACCGGTACGAGGATCAGCTCTGCAATCAGGAGGTGGGTGAGGGTTTGTACGACTATGTCGCGCGCCTGTGCTTGATAACGCTGTCCAAGATCTTCCATTGCCCCCCAACCTGGGCTAGAACCTGAGCGCGCGCGAAACGCGCGACGGTTCTAGTACACATCTACATATAACGCCGCACCGGGCCCGGGGGCCCCGGGGCCGCAGCCCCGACCACAAATGGAGGGACGTCTGGCCCAGCCCGCTCCCCGGCGGGCCCCAGGTCGGCCCCCGGAGCGCCCAAACGGCCGTCCAGGCGGCCCCAGGCCGCCCACAGCCACCCTGAAGACAACCTCCAGCGGTCTCCGGCGGATCAAGAGGCGTCTCGAACCGCCCCAGACCGCCCCAGACGCCTCCAAGACGCTCGAAGACCCTTCCAAGAGATCCCCCCAGACGGCCCCGGGAAACAAAAATAGCCCCGCTCCATTCGTAAAACGTACATATTTACCACATTCGATGTTTTGGCCTTCGTACCGTCCTTTACGACCTCCGACTCTCCATAGACCGCCCCAAGACGGCCCACGAAACCCACAAGAGAGCCCCAAGACGGCCCCAGAGGGGCTCCGGACAGTCCAAGAGGCGCCCAGGACGGCCCAAACGCGTCCCCGAAGGGCCCCAAGAGGGGCCGAAGACGGGACACCCAACTGAACCTTCCAGCCCCCCCGCCCCAGGAGGCCCCCAAGAGGCCCGTGAGAGACTCCCAAAAGGCCCAGAGGCCCCCAAGACGCCCGCGGCAGGCCCCCAAGGGCCTCCAGAGGCCCCCCCAAGAGGCTTCCAAGAGGCCCCCCGAAGTTCCCAGGAAGCCCCCAGGAGACCCCCAAGAGGGCCCCAACGGGCTTCTGAGAGGCTTCCCCAGAAACCTTCATGCACGTCCACATGCGCCCTCCGGTCCAAAAACCTGAGACCGTTCTTGGGACGCCGCCTGATTGGCACAGGTTTTCTTTGTCTCGAAATGGGTGGAGCGGCAGCGACCCTTGGCGCTGGGGCCGGGGGAGCAGGCCCGGGGCCCGAAAATTTGGCGAGACGGGCTTGCACGAACAGATTTTTAGAGACCACCTGCCCGTGGAACTGGCGACGCCGGGTGGCTTCACAGTTTCACAGCGCCTGGCGGCGGCAGCGTCGGCGCTTACTTTTCCTGCCCATGCACCTCTCTCTTCGGGGCCAGGGCCCGCTGTTGGGGGCCGCCAAACAGGTCCCAGGCCGATCAGACAGCCGTCCCTACGGACCAAGATTGCCCCGAGCTGCCCTGAAGACGGCTTCCAGAGGTTCCAGACGGCCCAAGAAGGTTCAAACATCAGCCCGACGAGTGCTCCGAGAGGCCAAATTTAGATATTTTCCTTTAGTTTTTTGACGGATTTCGGGCTTCCAACGCTCCCAGACGGGTCAAGAGGTTCCCCAGACCGCCGTCAAGGCGGCTCTAGAGGGGAGGCGTCCACGACGATCCAAGACCAATCCAAGAGGACCCGCAAGAGTGCTCCATCCCCTCAGGAAAACTCGCACTTTTTAGTATATTCGCTTCTTACTTTTAACACAGTCAAAGACAACCCCCGAGGTCTCCAAAAACGCCCGCAGACTGCCCATAAGGCTCTCAAGAGTGCCCCTAGACGGCTCAAGAGGGCCCCAAGATGGACCAAGAAAACCCGAAGACGGTCCAAGAGGGCCCCAGGATGGAGGGGTAATACGAGCTGCTATTTGGAACCCTCTGCCCAAAAATGACCCCCGAGGCCGCCTATAGGTGCCCAACATGGCAGGCCGAAAGAGGCCCCTGGGAGGCCCAAAAGAAAACACAAAGAGGCCCCCAAGAGGCCCCAGGAGGACTCCGGGAAGCCTCAAGGAGATTCCGAAGAGGCTCCAACTGGGCTCCGAGAGACTTCGAAAGATACCTGGGCCCCAAGATGCCCTAACATGGTTGGTATGCTATCACAGCGTGAGGAGACAACACGAAAACGGTTTGGGCACGTCCCAGCAGGACCCAAGACGGCTCAAGAGAGTTCTTGTTACTTCCATATGTCTTTCTGCCTCCTGTCTGTCTTTCCTCGTTCCGCCTGCACGTGCTCCGCCAGCCGGCGTGACAGCGCGTGCATGCCGTTTCAAGGCGGCTTTCTCTCCGTGCTCCGTTACCGCTCCTTCGTCCTGCACATGCTCCGCCTGTTGGCGTGTCAGCGCGTGCATTTTATAGCACGGCTGTGTTCCTCCTTCGTCCGTCTTTCTTCGATCTTCCCGCAAGTGCTCCACCACCCGGCGTGACAGCGCGTGCATTCTGTGTTAAGGCAGTTTGTTCTCCGTCCTCTGGGTTTCTTCTGCACGTGCTCCGCCAGCTGGCGTGGCAGCGCGCGCATTCTATTTCAGGGCAGTTTTCGTCCCGTCCTCCGTCATTCCTCGTCCCCCGCACAGGTTCGGCAAGACAAACCAAGAACATGTGACGACATCCAAAGACCAGCAAACTACGGCCTCGACATTTCATCATAAAGCCAGTCAATGCCCCAAGCCTGTTCAGCGATCTCCTCGACGAACCCACAAGCCGAGACCTGTGCGTCGTGACAACGACGAGGCAACCCTGGACGGCGCCATCGGGGCCACAAACACCTGCCCCCCCCACAAGAGCGCCTGAAAAGCCCAAAAGCCAGCCCAAGGGAGCCCTGCGACATCCCATACCCGGCCCACGACGGACACAACTCTTCTCCGATTGCGAGTCGCCTGGAAACCCCGACCTCCGTTTCATCACAGCGCCATGGGCTGGACTAGAACCTAAGCGCGCGCGAAGCGCGCGCGTGGTTCTAGTCTGTGTACCGCATGCTTTTACCGTAAAATCGAGCTCATCTAGCGTTCACCATACCGCCCAGCGAGCCGAATTAAGTTGAGACACGGTTATGCTACATTGAGCTACCGCCGATAGAAGCTACGGCATGAGAGAAACGTACAGCCGCTTTCAAATTGAACAGGTCTACGTTTCGAATTTTGAGATTCGAGCTGAATGTTTAGTGATGCCGCAAACGTGAGCGTTCGTGTAACGCGACGCTTGCGATTTGATGTCTTCGTTCTGCTGCCCGAGGCTAACACATGGAGGCAGAATAGGAATACTCGGGTTCTTCTGAGGATGTGCCAGCAATGATTTATGCCTAGGGGCCAGACCCAGCCTCTTCCTCGGAAACTGCAGGACCTTGACATGCAAACCAGCCTGGGATAAGCGTAGACTAGCCCAGACGACGACGGCGACGGCGACGGCGACGGCGACGACGACGACGACGGCGACGGCGACGACGACGACGACGACGACGACGACGACCGCGACGACGACGACGACGACGACGACGGCGGCGGCAGCGGCGGTGGCGGTGGCGCCGACGGCGACGGCGACGGCGACGAAGAACGGCGAAGGCGACGGCGGCGGCGGCGGTGGTGGCAGCGTATTTCGCCTGCTGAGGTGATGCCGCGTCACTGTGGCCTCCGGTTGGCAGCCCCGCCGCGGCGGGGTGCGTTTCGACTTCGGACCGTTTTTTTCTGGTGTGTCTCGTGCGGTCGCGGTGGCGGCGGCGGCAGTGACGGCCCCAGGTCCAGGACGCTGGCCGTGTTTTCTTCTTGCCGGGCGCGCACCTGGACCTCAACAAGTCCATGAGTTTCATGGACCCGCCTTTCCGCTGCAGCGAGAGGGGAGGGGTCCAGCGATGGTCCGCGGTCCGGGTCTCGAGCTTCTCCGAGGCGACGTCGCCGATGCAGTGCGACTTTGGGGCGTAGTTGACTTCGGCCCCGTGTGAGAAGGTCTCCAGAATGATGAAAGCGGGAAAGGCTCGCAGTGTGTTGAGCGCGATGTCCCGCCTGGCAGAATTGGGTGGGTGGGTAGGTTTCCCAGCATTTGTCGACGGGCAGGGATGCGAAATGACTTGGGTAGTCGCTCGGGAATTGGAGCCGCAGGGAGCAGGAGGATGAGAAGCTCGTGTCAAGGGCTGCTGCTCTGGACGACAATTCTCACGCTCTGCCATTGGGACTCCAGCGACGTCTTGGAGATCACGCATACATAGTGAAGATGCATCGTATCATGTGGCGCCATATGCTGATGTAATCGGCATGTGATGTTGCGGCCAAGGCCGGGATCATTCGCAATTGTTTTTCTGCGCAGAATGTCTGTTAGTTACACGCAACAGTTGCGATTATACATGTCAGTTTGTTCGTTGTTCTCGGGCGTACGGGAAGACGAATCTAAATGCATGTCCATTGACGCGTCGAGCACATCACAGGTCTGAAAGTATGGTTGTGCGTATCGCGATGATGAGTGCCGTACGTCGTCCAGGCTAGTTTTGGATCAAGGACACTGTAGTAACATCCACCCGCGAGTGTTCTCAGAAGGAGTCACGGCACAGCTTGGTCATTGTGGTCTTTTGATTCGTTTGCCATTTGTTAATTTCCTTCGCCAGTTCGTCTGGGTATGTCTGATTGTACCATCCTTGCCGCAGGTTCTATACACAGACTGGCAGCTAACTCGCCAGAGTACAGTGTTGACCAAATGCTTAGTGATACTCATTGTTTGCATGCCGTCCAGCTTCTTGTGTCGAGCTTGCTCGTATGCGGTTCATTTTTGTGCGGCGCCCGCGAGAGCTCCACGAACTACTGCGTAGCACCAGTGGTATCCGGAGGCGCGCAAGCGATGACACGGCTGCAATTGATGAGAGGGTTGGCGCCAGGGCAGAAGGGGATTGAGAGTGGCGTGTATGATTTGACTGAGAGCGCATTATAGAATGGCCGACTGGGGCAGGCCAACTTAGTGGTGGGAGGCTAGGCATATTCGCCCCACCCCTCCAGCCCTACTGCCACGAGCCGTCGCTCCTGGGCTGATCTCGGATCGCCGGACGGCCAGAGACGAGTGCGAAGCTCAATCGCAGATGCTCTCGCGCCTTCGTTCCGATGGGCTGTCTCGGGGGACGTCTGCGTCACCACTGCACTGTTGGTCGCGGCCCCTCGAGTTGGTCCTGTGCCTCGCGTCTCTCACCCCCCAGCGCTCCTCGTTGGCGGAAAAGAGGGGGGTGATGACTAGGGGGGGGTGGATATCATGGCGGGGGCCATGATATTTCCCCAGATTTCATGGCGCCTCTTCTTATTTCATTACGTCCCTGGCCCCCCCGCTGGGCCGCGCATATGCCGCCGGTCATGATTTGCACCCCCCCCCCCTCTTTGACGCCCCCCTCTGTGCCGCTCCCGAGCTCCTGCGCCATCCCCAAAAAACCTTCCGGATGATGCCCTCGCATAGGGTGCATGCGCGCTGAATTCCGCCCTCGCCGTCCACCTGATGGGAGGGGGCTCGCAGTCCAGCTCTGCACCGACGGGTGCGGGAGAAGGGAGAGAGGTTGTGTGCGCAGCAGTGAGGGGGAGGACAGACAGCAAAGAAGGAGTCGGCCCAGAGAAGGGAGGCAGGAGGCAAAACGGCGGAGCCGGAAAGGTGCAGGTAGAGGGGGGAGATGGCGGATGAGAAAGAGCGTTGACACATTGGCTTCATCCGTGGGCGATGACGCTACCTGGTTGGCAGTATTAGCCGAGGGATGAGGGCTCGTCGGTCGTTGTCATCAGTGGCTAGGGGATATGGCATACTCAATGATTTGGCTGGCAAATCCAGTTGAGGTGCGATGACGATGCATTTTGAGGAAGCGCGTTTCGAGTTCGCTTGCCTTGGAAATATCCTAAGGGGGGTCTTGAAATTGGAGCGCCCCTTCCCCCCGAAGTCAAATCCAGATGCCGCCTCCGAAACCGGAGTGCCCCCCCCCAACTCGCCGCTGGCAAAAGATGACGACAAGTCAGGGATTGTATCAATGGGCGGAGTGCGGTGTAGTTAATTCATCAATGGTTGGTGACGAGATGCGTTTGGCAAATCAAGCCACGGGGCGAAGGTATGTCGATTACAATGTTCATCCACGAGTGGGAGGTATGGTAGTCGGGCGAACTTATCTTTCTACGATGATCGCGCCCTGCCTTAGTTTGCTGTCGCATCAGACGCCAGGGACAATCGTGGGATGCTTGTACAACTAACGCCAGCGCTGCCTGAGCACCTCCGCGTCAAAGGCCAAGGGTACCGTGGGCTCAGATATATGACAATGTCCACTCACGCACCAGTTTAAAACAATCCCCAGGTGCGATGGAAAATTGCTGCCATGAACCACAGGAGGAGGATGATACTTCACAGTTGAAGCATGGCACTTGTAGTCGCGGGGCGCAGATGGTTGGTTGATATGCTTACCCGAAGGGTAAGTGTACTTCGGGACAATGTTACCAATAGGGGGTCGCAAGCGTAAGCAGCGGTTAAGGATACTTGGCTGTAAAAGTTTGGCAGATTGTTGAGGGTTCTCTAGTTGCCGTCTGGTCCGTTGATTGGTGACATGTCCAGTCTAGTTGTCGGGTGCGGATACTTGGTCGGCACTTTTAGCCAGCGTGTGAGGATGTTTCAGTGGCATTTGTTGCGCGAGTTGGCGGTGGTACCTGTTGCTGTGCAGTGAAGATGGTTGGTTACCTATTTTGGTGCGGGGGTGAGGATAATTGCTTCCTCCTGTGGCAGTTTTCCATGTGGATTGGGGGATACAGCAACATTAGCCGTGGCTGAGGGCACTCTGGTGGCATTATGTATTAAGACATGTCGATGAGACTTGTACCCGTGCTGGGCAGCTTGCTCCACAGTAAGACGCGATCCCCGTCATCGCATTCGGTGGTGTGCACCTGCCGCACATTCCTTCGGACACTGGCCTGGCGATCTCATGCGCCCTTTCTCCAGCCACCATCACCATCATCGTCGTCGCCGTCAGCATCCTCACCACCATCATCGTTCTCCTCGTGCTCATCATCATCGCCGTCGTAATCATCGTAATCATCATCGCCATCGCCATCGTCATCCTCATCGTCCTCATTGTCCTCATCATCATGATCATCCTCATCAGCAGCATCTTCATACTCATTGTCAGCATCAGCATCACATTTGTCGCCAGCATCGGCTCCGCAACCGTTTTGGCCCAAGGGATGCTAGATTGGATTGCCCATGCTCTCGCCGCACGGCCTGCGCCATCTGCGCGCGCGGCATGGAGGCCAGGCGCGCGCGGGATGCGCCGGCAACGTCCACTGGATCTTTCCACGGGCGGCCACTGGATGTGGTTTGGTACAGCTGGAAAAAGCAAAGACTGCATAAACATTAGCTCTCGGAGGCTTGCGCGGATTTCACCGGCGCATGATTCCCCGGCGATGCCTCCAGGGAGGTGGGTCTGGCGCAGATCCAAGAAATCCACGCGGGCCTGCGAACGTTTGTTTTTGTGCAGTTGTTTCTTCTTCTGCCAGCCGTTTTGTGTGGTGGCGCCATCTCTTCGGGTACGACAGGAACCTCGAGTTCGCGACCGCTCTTGAGATCGCCTTTCGCGCGGCCTTCTGGCTCACGCTGTTCGCGTGGCCGACAATCCATGGCACCCTCGAGACCCAAACAAAGGTTTTCAGGTTAACGACTGCAGACTTCATCAAGCCGGGAGCGGTGGTGGCTTGCGTCTACACCTTGGCTCCAAGCGCGGGCATCACAATTAAGCATGTGGCGCAAGGCTTGAGTGGAAGTGTGACCGCAGCTGTGATGTCGTGGCTCATGTATGCGGTCTACTACGACGGTTGCACCGGAAAACCTGCCAGTTGGCCGCAAATCGACGCGTGCCATTTTTGGCTTGGCGACCTCACGAGGAGTTGCGATCGCGTCAGCTCAGTGCACCTTTTCTTCCCTCAAGTGGACCCGTGTTTTTATTTCGGCATTGTTGCAGGTGCGTTCTCCAGCTGCCTTCGGCAGATCCCCACCGCGGCAGCGAAGCACTCTGATCGGCCACCCTCACAGAGGGCCGTCACATGTAACATCTCTCGTCAGCTGCTTCTCGAGGGTCTCTGATGGTGCCTGTTCGGGCCAGCCAGCCTCAGGCTGTCTCAGCTCCTGTGGGCCAGTCTTGTGCTGTCTTGGGGCCTTATTGGGCCGTCATGGGGCTCTCTTGGCCGTCGGTGGGATCTCTTGGGGGCTTCTTGGGCTGTTTAGGGGCCTTCCTGGGCCGTCTTAGGTTTATCCAAGGGCCTGTTGGGGTTGCTCAGGGCCCTGTTTGGGCAGTCCTGGGCCATCTAGGGTCTCTCTTGGGGCTCTCAGTAGGCTCATTTGGGCCCTGGGAGATCGCAAGTGGACCGATCTTCGACCGAAGAGCGTGGGAATCAGCAAACGTTGAAGGTCGATATGAACATCGATGTGTGTGTGTGTGTGTGTGTGTGTGTGTGTGGCCTCTCGAGGTCCTCCTGGAGAGCATTTTGGAGGTGTCTTGGAGCCCCTTGGAGGCCTCTTGAGACGTATTAGGCGCCTTTTGGGGGGCTCTTGGGGGAGTTTCGAGGCAATGTCGGACCATTTTGGCGGCTCCGGTGGCTTTCCTCGGCCGACTTGGAAGCCTCGGAATGCCCCGGAGAGCTCTCGGGAGACGCAGGGTCGCCCAGGAAGCTTGGATCGAGGGGGCCGACGAACGTTGGTGGCGTGGAAGATGCATGATTTTCAGTACGGTCGTTGCTTGCGTCTTGCGGCTTGTCGGTGTGCTACGATCGCCATACTATGCGCGCGAGGATTTGTATTGTCGGGGGGAGGCCAGACCTTCCCCCCACCATGCGTACGATCGCGATCGTTACTGTTACGGGGGGGGAGCATGGCACGGGTCGTGACCGTTGTGCGCCACAGGATAACGCAACAATCTCTAGAAACCTTACCGCACAGCTCTACTTGCCACGCCTCAGCGTGCCAGTGGGCACGGTGGCGGATCAGTTATGTTAGTGCTATTGCTCCAGTTGCCTTCTCTGTTTCAGATTTTTTATTGTTCCAATTTCGTGTTCTATTGGATGGCATTCTTGAACTCAGCGGTAGAGGACGCAACTGGCGCATCCTTGAGGCGCAGTGACCCAAGATACGCCCATACCGTTGAACTCTTCGGGTGCCAATGGAATGACTGGGGTGGGGGCGTATCCAAAAATATAATCACGATGCTAAATGGATGCTTCTTCGCTCTGCTGATCACCACGTTCCCTTACCCAATTACTTGCCTTGCGCAGGCGACAGATCATGTAGAGCTCACGACCAAATCGCTCGAGCAACACTGGAAAAATACCATAGCCTTCTACGTCGCCCCACAGAAAGACGAAATGAACAAGGCGCACATGATGAGCTCAATGGGATCCGTGAAAGATGAGATTGATAAGTTGGATCGTATGTTAGAAGGCACCTTCTGGGAAGTGTTATTCTTTCCATGGGTATCCTACAGCACGTGCCCGCGCTTGCCACCCATATGCACCGATTCTCGCATGGCGAGGCACGCTAATTTAACCAAGCTGCGCGGGACACTGTGCAAGTGCATCGAGCGCCTATGTCATGTCGTGGACGCTTGCGAGAGGGAAAAGTTTGAGGAGTCGCACCAGGCCCTGATGCTCTCTTGCCAGAACGCCGTAGAGAGCCTGGCCAGCTGCACCTTCCTGCTTCTTGACAGTGCAGTGCAGAAGGCCCAGGACGGCGTTCTCACTGAGGATGAAAAGGATGAGTTGATGAACCAAGTTAAAGAGGTAGAGTATTTCGAGAATTTGCTCAGCGACGAAGTGAAAGCATGCATCCAACAACTGACCAGAAGAAAGTCTGTGAAGGTCGCCCAGGAGGTCAGGGGTCAATTAGCAACGGAGCAAGTATCCCAGGTGCCTGCGGCAAATCCGCCACCGTGCTGGCGAAACATTGTGCGGCGACCTTTCGAGCACCGCCGAGAAGGCAGTGACGCGTGACACTTCTCGCCGATACTTCTTGAGGAGCTATCTTGGGTTGAGCCGTCTTGGCGCTGTCTTGGGCTCCTGGTGCTGTCATGCGGGTCCTTTGGAGCCCTCTTGGAACGTCTTGAATCCATCTTGGACCGTTCTGGGTCCCTGCTGAAGTCCTCTTGGGCCAGCTGCAGCTGGCGGCTCTCTTGGTGTCGTCCTGAGCCGACTAGGAGCCCGCTTGGAGCTCTCCGTGGGCCCTCGTGGGCACGCGACGCCCCCAGGCGGGCCGATCTGCGACCGAAGAGCTCTGGAAGCGACAGGCAGTGGGAACGCATTGGGCAAATCGATGCTTCTCAGAACCAGCGACTGCGGTAAGCGATGCGAATCCCATGTTCGATGCCGGGCGCGAGAGTTTGCAGCCAGGGTGCCGTGCCGTGCCCGCGTGCCGCGCCGTGTCGCGCTCAGGTTCCAGACTGCGACAACGTGTGCTGTGCCAGGCCCCGCTCTCGAGTGCGAGAAGTGCGCCGCGCTTCCGTGCTTCCGTGCCGTGCCCTGCCGTGTTGTCCCCGGGTCTTCGAGTGCGACAGACGTGTTGTGCCGTGCCCGGAGGGGGGAGGAGGAGGAGGAGGAGGAGGAGGAGGAGGAGGAGGAGGAGGAGGAGGAGGACGAGCAGGGGCAGGAGGAGGAGGAGGCTTCAGAAGTCGAAGCATGTGCCGCGCCGCGCCCAGGCCTCGCAGTGCGAAGAAAAGCGCGCTGGACCCGTGCCCCCGTGTGCCGGGCTGCCGCGCCGTTGTCAGGCTGCAGAGTGCGAGGGGCGTGCTGCAGAGTGCGAGGGGCGTTGTGTGTCGTGCCGTGCCCGCGTGCCGTGTGCCGTGCCGCGGTTTGAAGCTGTGAGAGGGCCATCCGTGCCGCGCCGTGCCCGCGCGCCGTGTGCCGCGTCGTGCGCTGCTTCCTGCCGCGCTGCCCGCCCACGCCAAGCACGCCTCGTTGGATGCTGGCTAGCCGCGTATGCTCTCACGCAGTGCTGCCGCGCGGGGCCTCCTTGCACGGCGTGGGCTCGGCCTCTCGCTGCCCTTCCTCGGAGGCCCCTTGGGACGCAGGGCCTTCCTCAGCGGCGGTGCGCCGTCGTGGGAACGTCTTTGTGGCTGTTTGGGCCGTCTGGGGACCGGTCGGGTCGTCGGGGTACTGTCCAGGGGCCGTCTCCGGCCAGCCGGGGGCTCTCTTGCGGCCGCCGCCATGGCCCTTTTGGGCCATCGGACGCCGCAGGTGGCCCGACCGGTGCCCCAGGAGCGCTGGAAGCGAAACACGCTGGACAGTCTAAGGAATCTCAAGATGTGTTGTCCTTTCGAGGCCTTCGAGCAGGAGGCGGAAGTGGGACGGTGGCAAGGGGGTGGTGGAGGGTTTCGTACGAGGGCGGAAACTTGTCGATTGTAGTAGTGGGGACAGTCAATCTATTTGTCCTCGGTCCAACCCGCCATTGCGCCTGGGCTGTAATCCAGAAGCCTTGGGGACATCTGGGGGCTCCTTGGAGGGCTCCTGGGAGCGTGGCGCGCTTTGGTGCGTCTTTGGGTTTATTGTGAGCCTGTTTGAGGTCTTGAGATCATGATTGGGGGGCCCATCGGTGCGACAGTGGTGTGCTCTTTGGGCTTGTTTTCGAGGTTTCTTGTGTCAACTTGGACTGGTCTTGCGGGATTCTTGGACCGTCTTGGCCGGTCTTGCAACCGATGCGACAAGAACGCTACGGTTACACAAGCATTTGGTGGATTCAGCAGCCCTTTACCTCCTGGGCTGGCCTCCAGGACCTTCGAGGCGGCCTGCGAGACTTCCAAGAGTGCCCCGAGGTTGGCCCCGAGAGGGCTCCAGCGGGCCCATGTGGCCCAAAGATAGCCAGATTGGTCCAAAGATCCCCCGAGTCACTCCTCAGGGGGGGGGGGGAACGGTGGGGAGGCGCAACCCTCGGGATCCCCCTGGGACCTCCCCTGCCCCGCACCCCTCCGGCGGAGAGGTGATTGCGGTAGGTTCGCATCGTGTCGACCCGCGGCGACCCCGCCGCTGGCGTTCAAATTTGAACGCCGCCTGCGACCCAGAATCGGTCGATGTTGACCGAGCTGACGTTTCGGAAACGCCCGATCGTTCAAGGTTGAACGATCCCCGCGGTGTCAGAAACCAAGGCCGGGGTCGACACGACACGAACCTGCCGTGAGGGGGATCGACTCGACTACGACCTGGGTCGATTCACCTCGGGCTGGCGAGCGTAGAGAGCGCAATGTGGCCACAGGGAAAGGGGGGCAGCACTTCGAGGAAAAGCGTCCCCCAGGACCTCCTTTGGATGACCAGCGCAGAACTCCCCGTCAGAGGGATGGCAGATTGAGCGTTTCTCAGGGTTGTTGGGTACTTCTTGAGGCAATGCTGGGCCACCTTGGCTGTCTTGGAAGCGCCGGAGATTTTAGGAGAGCCCAATGCAAGCGTCGGGTTGGCCAGGGAGCCTTGGGAGAGATGGCCAGTGCGCGCAGGAAAGTATGACAAGAGGGGGGGGCCCACGTAAGGCTACAGAAGCCCTACCAGACAGTACTTGGCATTCTACCACGCCTCAGCGTGCCAGGTGGCACGGTGGCGGATTCATGTTCAGTCTTTGCCATTTCGCCGACAGCATACGCACTTATTGCAAATGGCTCGCAGAAGAGAGGACTGCTGATACGTTCGAAGATAGCATTCGCAGTCTGTGCGGCACCCTCAGGTTTTATCCAGCTGCCTGTGACAAACCCCGCCACCGTGCCTGTGCAACAGCGAAGCAGGAAGGAGTTTGAACTAATCGCTTCTCTCATTCCGCCTGCCCAGACCGTGCCATCGCGTGCGTTTGCCGGCGTCTTCGTCGCCACGGCGCATCTTGGATCATTTTGGTAATGTGTGCATTTCCAGTGGTCCCGTCTTGGGTCTTGGGGACTGAGGGCTCAAAGGACCTCAGGTCACGCCAATGTGCTTTGAACACGGTGGCGGATATGGCCGCCCAGCTTGGCGTCGAACATGCACCAATCCCCCAACCAATTAGCCAGAGAGGAGGAGAGAGGGAGGAGGGAGGAGGGAGGAGGAGGAGGAGGAGGGGCAATCGGAATCGGAACAGACGCGAAGCGTGACCTCTACACTGGAGCACTCCACCCCCTGACCATGGCGAGGATCGCGACGACCAGGAATCCCCGCTTCAGGACAAATGAACCGTTCACCATATTGCGCACGACGCTCATGTCCTTCCAACTGCCGATGCCCAGAAACGGGATGAGAGACTCGAAACAAAATGCGCAGTATTGGAAACACATGTTTGCAAGTGCCACCAAATAGACAAACACCGGCCAAGCAAGAAGCAAGCAGTGTTGATGTCATCGCCAGCATAGCAGGACAAGCAGGCAATTCCAAGAAATGCGTAAGACATGTACGAACTGAGCCCACAGTGTGAATGTTCCTCGCCACCAAACCGCGTGCGTACACAGAGGAGGAGGGGAGGGAGGGAGGGAGGGAGGGAGGGAGGGAGGGGAGGGAGGGAGGGAGGGAGGGAGGGAGGGAGGAGGGGGAGGGAGGAGGAGGAGGGGGAGGGAGGAGGAGGAGGAGGAGGAGGAGGAGGAGGAGGAGGAGGAGGAGGAGGAGGAGGAGGAGAGGAGGAGGGAGGAGGAGGAGGAGGAGGAGGACGGGAGGAGGAGGAGGAGGAGGAGGAGGAGGAGGAGGAGAGGAGGAGGAGGAGGAGGAGGAGGAGGAGAGGAGGAGGGAGGAGGAGGAGGAGGAGGAGGAGGAGGGGAGGAGG